CCCCCCCCCGCGCACCTCGTGGTACGCCCCAGCGCTCCCCCGCTGGGGTGTGATGGTCAGGCCTGCTCCCAGGTTCTGGTCAGACCCGTTCTGTGAGGAGTTTGCATGTTCCTCTCCATGGTCCAGCTTGTGCCAGTTTCCTCCCACCTTGGCAACACGATGGCGAGGTTAAGCAGCTTCTCTAAATTGTTCGTGTGCGTGTCCTACCGAGGACTGGCATCCCATCCAGGATGGAGCCCCGCCTGGTGCCCTCTGCTTCCGGGATAGACTCCGGCTCTCCGTTGCCCTCACCAGGGATATCCGGCTGTCCGACGACGGATGAATGGATTTGAGCTTTTATGTTGTCACGGCCTGCTGCGTCTGCAGAATATTGTTTACAGTTTTGTTCACCACGTTATAGTCAGCTCAAAAAGATGCGGTTGCCGTGGTGTTCCTTGTGGTCCAGAGAAGGGTGACCAGGTCCCTTCCTGACGTGACCTAGCCTCTTCGTGCTCTTCAGCCTCACCTGTGCGACAGGAGCCAGGGGACACTACAGCAGTGTGAGCGTGGAAGGGCGTTGGAGACCTGGGGGGCGCTTCATTTCGCAGAGGGTTGTGGGGAAAATCGAACAAGCTGTCCCCTCTACTCTGGCTTCTTTCAGGAAATCGGGGATCATTTCAGAGATCGCCTGATCAGTTAGCTATGGGCTCGACCAGCTGGACGGGCGGAATGTCCCCCTCCCTCCCCCCCGTTCGTAAGCTGCCCTGTGTTGTTGTGGCATTGTGCATCCCTGACCCTCCGTTTTAGGATCATGGCCGTGTCATTTTCCTGTCTGCAGCTGGACCACATGGAGCTGATCAAGGCTCTGATCGTTTTCGGGGCGGACGTGGAGACCCCGAATGATTTCGGGGAGACCCCGGGCCTCATCGCCGCCCGCATCAGCAAAGGTGAGAGTTCGGTTCCCCCTTCCACCCCGCCCCGCCTGCCGCGCACACGGGTCCACAGCGTCGCGTCGGCGTCCCCAGTCCTTGCGCCTGGCCGACCTGCGCTGACCGTGCCGATGTGCCAGACGAGCTGGGAACCAGGGCTCGTCCAGGGCCTGCAGCCAGCGTGGCTTCTGCCAGCGCGGCCTTGTAAAATCGAGATTCGCAAGAGACTAGAATCTAAATAACAACTATTCCACAGCTCACCTTGAAGGCCCAGAGTCTGGGACATATCTACATCCATTGTGAACTCGCATGTACTGTATAACCAGCATGTCTGTGGATCTCCGTGTGCTGAATGTTTAGAGTACATGTACAACAGCGTGTCAGTTTAGACTGAATAGAGCTGCTCTGTACATAATGGCATTAATTTACAGAAATGGATACCTCACCCTCTCTGCACTGCTCCAGCCATCATGTTTAAGACACTGACTTGTCACGTGTGTGTGCGTGTGTGCGTACACCTTCTGAACACAGCTCCTGAATACAGGATACTGTGAGTCAGATGGTTATTTAACTTTTTATAACATGGCTTTTGGAATCAGTTGTTAATCTGCTCCAATACGTGAAATGCATGTGTTCAAAATGATGCGATCTTAGAAGCTGCCTTCCCAGACTCCTCCCTTCCCTGCAGCTGATTGGCTGGCTGCCCGTCCTGTGAGACACAAGCGGACCAATCAGCTGGTCCGATTGGGCCAGTGAGTGAACCCGCACTCCAGCCAATTAACTAAGGAGGGTAGGAGGGGGAGGGGCAGTTGATTGCCCTGCCAGTACGAGCATGTACAGTATCTGTGTGGGTGTGTGTGTGTGCTGTTTCCTGGTGTCTGTGTTGTAGGTGTGTTTAACCCTCGCCTGTTCTTGTGTGGCTGTGCGAAGGGGCCAACAGGAAGGTCCTGCTAAGCATGCTGTATAGTGTAGGAGCAGACCGCTGCCACCCACCTTCCCCAGACACATGCTTGCCGACCTTCAAGAGACCACGGCCACCACCGACTATAGGTAACGTCTCCCCTCCCTCCTCCTCTCCCTCCTTCCCCCCTTCCACCTCTGCCTTCCACCCTGTCCTGTCCTGTCCTGTGACGAGGGGTCCTGACCCCCCCACTCGCGTCCTCCTTTCTCTGCTCTGCCCTGGTGCAGTGAACGCCTCCAGCCACACAGTTCACATGAAGTCCACACGCTGGGCAAGGGGAAGGGCTCCAAAATGAGCTGTTTTATCTCTCTCTGTCTCTCATCTCTCGGTGTTTCATGTGGCCTCATCCCCAGTGCCAGAATAGAGACGAAGGTCTGAACCTCCGGGACTGGGCCACATTCTTGTGTATTTGAGACCTGTAACGTGATCAGTTCTCCATGAACGTCTTAACGAAAGGTGAAGAGAGCTTTATTGAATGCGGAACACGAAGTCGTATGATATTATTCCATCGTTTCAACAAAACAACCCCACAGTAGGGAACCTTGGGTGAATAAGGGTGTGAGCCTTTAGTCCATCCGTCCTTACGGATCTGCTTCGTGTCAGTGATATGTGAGGCTTTCCTTGCCTGAAAAGCTCACTCCGGGTCTTTCCATAGCATTTCAGTGACCTCTTCCTGGCTGCTCTCCCATGAAAATCATTCCCTTTCAGTGGGGTTTTCTTGGCACTGTAGCCGTCTGTCCCAGTACAAGGCTCTGCTCCGGTACAAGGGCAGTTACAGTAGCTGTAAGGCTTGGGTCTGTACTAAAGCATGATACAACTAGAAGATGGCCATGTGGATTTACTGTGTGCAGAGGTTTCTATGGAACGTGCATGCCACACTAACTCCTAACACTCGATTTTGGGCCTCTGTTGGATATTGGGGCCACGCTGCTTCCGAGAAAACTTTGCAAAAAGAGCAGGAGTCCAGGACACAGGAAATGAATTGAAATGATGGATGATATGGATCTGTTCTTTCAGTCATTGCCAGTTAGGCAGGTCAACTGTGATTGGGTGTGTGGGATAGCATCGAGCTCTCCCATTGGCTCAGCTGAACACCCTATTTCTTGCTCTCACTGATTGGCTCACAGGGTTTGATGACATCATGCATGTAGCTGCCACTCTAGGGGCGCTGACCCATGGCCAGATGGAAGTGGACGGCTGCAAAACAGGAAACAGGAAGTGAGTCTTGAATTATTTTTTTTGTGCCACTTAGAAAGGTGTCTTTTCTGTTTGACAGGTGTGCGTTACCAGGGTGACAGGTATGTGACGGGTAAATCACTGTGTGTGGGTTCCAGATGTGCCAGGCTGCTGTGTCTGGATGGAGGAGGCATCAAAGGCCTGGTTCTGATCCAGCTGCTGATCGCTTTGGAGCAGGCGGCGGGCCAGCCTATC